CTCACATTGGGTTCCCAGCTGTTCATTAATGTCGGCGTCTTATCAGCGCTGAGCTCATACACATTGTACGGGATTCCCTCTGTAATTACAAGAAATGTCCCCCCTGATCCCGGCATCCTGTAATTCTCCCAAATACCCCGGGGAGGGGTGTTACTGAGACGAGAGCAGGTGCCGGGGGCGAGATCTGGGTCACTGGAACACCCAAATCAAATCATTACTGTCTGCACCGCTCACCGATATGTACAGTACATGTAATACAAATACACACACGGTACATGTAATACAAATACACACACGGTACACACAGTACAAATACACACACGGTACATGTAATACAAATACATACACGGTACACAAAAGTAGAAATAGACACACGGTACACACAAGTACAAATACATACACGGTACATGTAATACAAAGACACACACAGTACAAAGACACGTGGTACACGTAGTACAAAGACACGTGGTACATGTAGTACAAATACACGCGGTACATGTAATACAAAGACACACACAGTACAAAGACACGCGGTACACGTAGTACAAAGACACGCGGTACACGTAGTACAAAGACACGCGGTACACGTAGTACAAAGACACGCGGTACACGTAGTACAAAGACACGCGGTACACGTAGTACAATGACAAGCGGCACACGTAGTACAATGACACGCGGTACACACAGTACAAAGACACACAATATATTCTAGTAACACTGTATAGTATGATCTTGTTGCGGTGTGTTGGTATGTGACTTCCTCTTGCCGTGTCCGTCCACGATGATGACATGTTGTGTTCAGGCTTTGGCCTGCCGTCCGCCATGTTTCTGGAAAACAGATCAGAGGAACTTTAATTACCAATTTCCAGCTGACGGATCTCTTCACTGTGTTGTTTTTTCACACTCCCTGTACGGCCGACAGACCCGGACAAATGGCACTGAGCTGGTGAATGTACAGCTGGTGAAAGTGCTGCAAGAAAACATTTGCCTTATAAGCAAATCCAACACCTGGATTGTTCCAGCCGGCCCGTAAAACAAATGTTCTCATAGGAAGTGAACTCCGGGGCCGGCTACATGTGATGAATACACCTTCAGTCTTGCACAGTTGTACCGGCTCCTCCTGGACTGAAATGGCTTCCTCTGATGTCACTGCACACTGCGAGCTTCTCACAATCTGCATTACAAGCTGCAGCAAGTCAGAGGGAGCCCGCCTCATTTCCTGGCATCATCCTGCCCCGACCAGACCAGTCACCCTGCAAATGGAGAGAGAGCAGCAGTGACCGGTCTTTATTACCGGAGGGGGCGGAGACAAGACCAGTCACCCTGCACAAGGAGAGAGAGCAGCAGTGACCGGTCTTTATTACCGGAGGGGGCGGAGACAAGACCAGTCACCCTGCACAAGGAGAGAGAGCAGCAGTGACCGGTCTTTATTACCGGAGGGGGCGGAGACAAGACCAGTCACCCTGCACAAGGAGAGAGAGCAGCAGTGACCGGTCTTTATTACCGGAGGGGGCGGAGACAAGACCAGTCACCCTGCACAAGGAGAGAGAGCAGCAGTGACCGGTCTTTATTACCGGAGGGGGCGGAGACAAGACCAGTCACCCTGCACAAGGAGAGCAGCAGTGACCGGTCTTTATTACAGGAGGGGGCGGAGACAAGACCAGTCACCCGGCACAAAGGGAGAGAGCAGCAGTGAGCGGTCTTTATTACAGGAAGCTCACACAGGATGACTGCACAGATCTGGAAGAAATACACAAAGCTCACCAAGATTCCAGAAAGAATACACATGAGTCTTATATGAGGACAATATTTGGCTTTAACTGATGACATCAGCAATATGTTCTGCCTGTGTCGGCCCTACTAGAGGATCGGTGGGAAGTAATGGGGTGTCTGTGCCCACCATTTTCTCACCAGAACTGATATATGAGGTACAGGATGGAGAGATTCTATTGGCTCGTTGGGTGAGAGCTTTTTTATTTCCCATTGCTCCTAGACCTACAACACTTTGATCTAATGTTGGACTGCTGAGGACCCCATAAGCGAAGCCCCCCCCCCCTCCTGAAATGATATTGGCATCATATTGGCAAATAGGCGTGGTGGAGTTCTCTGGCCTCAGTCTACCTAAAACAGATATAAGTGGAGTCCACAGGCTGGAGTGACCTGCTCTACTAGGGACTCCAGCCTCCCTTTCCTTGTTCCTGCCTCTGTTCTTGACCCCGATGGCTCTTAGTTAGTCCACCTGTGTGTGTTGTATCCTCCATAGCATGAAAAGACTTAATAGGAGTGCGTCATAAGTGCCGTACGTCCCAGCTGAGGACATTGTGGGGTGTGATGGCCTGGTGGAGGTCCCTACAATAAGGACAGACATGACTGACAAGTTCCAGCGCCCTAGCTCCGCATGCGTTCATATAAGGTTGCGTCTTGCTCTGGCTGTCAGGAATGTTTCCGTGTTTGGAGGTCACAGCGATCTGTCACGTCTCTCCGCATGTGTCCAGGAGGAAGCAGACGATAATTGAAGTCTTATCGGGTTATTCTCTCCCCAAGTCACAGCTGCTGTATTGATCACTCGGCATCTGCAGTCTCTGGGCCCCGGCCGTACCCTCCTGCCAATCGGAAGCCGCGTACATAAATCTTTGTCTACCCCCCTCCAGCCCCCGATGGTCCACGGTGATAATGTCCTGGCTTCATTACTATAAATTCCCGGCTAATATCATTTCCCCGTCTGCGATATTAGATTTACTCCCCGTCACCGGCACAGAGAGGAGGAAATGAATGAGCATCGTCATTCCTGGACCTTTCATTGTCCATCCTCGCGGCTAGCCCATGGCGTGATTCCGCAGCGCCCGTCATATATAAAGAGCCGCGTTCTGGAAGGCCATGTTTATCTCTGGGGCCGGCCAATCAATGTGGCAAGAGCATTGTTCTCCGAGCGCCATCATTATACTTCTGCACCGATTTTCCTGCCTTCTAACCGGGCTGAGATCCGCCGTACGCAGAGAAAACGGCTTTTCATATATTTCACCGATGATCGGAGGCGGCGGGACTGCAGGAGAACCAGTGTTACAGATAGAGAGTCCATTACGTGTTGGTCGCCATTACGGTTGTACAGGGTCGTGAAGTAGCCACGGTGCTCAGTCCATGTTCGGACATGAGGAAAGGGAGCGAGCGGTGTCTTGCTCCGTCCATGTGAACGTTCTATAGCTAAAGTGGATTTAATATCAGATATATTTTTTCTTTTCAAGTAAAGCCCACGGCCCGGCAAGTCAAAAACTACTCCTACAGTGGGGCTACCAAAATAAAAACTACCCCTACAGTGGGGCTACCCTCCGCTCTGCAAGGGTTATGTCTAGGGGACAGGAAAAAGCTGTTTTACTTACCAGTCCCTTCAGCTTCTCCCCTTCGCTCCGGTAGTATAAGGCTCACTGACAGCATCATGGCTCCACCACAAAGGTTGGTGTCACCGGTGTGGCCGCTACACATGTGATGTGCCGACCATGGTGTAATGTCATCATCAGAGCTGGATTAGGAGCATCATGGGCCTGGTGCTGGTGTTGGTTGGACTGGAGGCTCCTCGCTGGGGCTTTGCAGGGTGGTCACCTAATATGCCTGATTAGACAGCCTCCAGCGCCTCTGCCTGAGTTTGTCCAGCCAGACCGGGCCGGGTTGCAATCTGGTCTGGCCGGGCCTATTTTCAGTGGTGGGCCTGGAGCTGACACTCCAGTAGCCCCTATGTTAATCTGGCCCTGGTCATCACACATGTGCAGTGATGTATTTCACTGCCGGCGGCCATCTTGGTGATGGATGCTAGCAAAGAGAGGAGGGGATATTGACCCGGCGGGATTAGGTATGCCGCCAGGTCCCCCCCCCCCCCCCCCCTTGTGCTGCCACTGGAATCAGGGATCAGGTAAGTAAAAGTCCGATCACCTAGGCAGAAACAGTTAACCCTTGCAGTGCAGGAGTAGCACCTCCGCAAGGGTAGTTTGCCCAGGGATGAGCTTTAAGTACATCCATGCTCAGTAATCTTTTAGTATAACATTTTGCGGTGATTTATTACCCCTCACAGAGAGAGGGCTGTGACGTGCAGAAGAGGAGCGGGCTGTGCTAGGGAATTGACTCTTTCTGGAGAAGTCACATTTTCTAGCAAGATCAGAGACACGTTACAAGTAAATTTAAAAAAAATTATAGCAAAGAAAACTTTACAATTAATTATTGTGAATACTTCACTTTGTTGTGTATTTGACCTGCGGTTTTATAAAACTGGTGTCGGGGGGTCTCTTTAAAGTGAAACCTGTTGCTTCACCCAGCAAAGCACAGATACAGTTTAAAGGAGAACTATGGGGTTAAGTCTTTTCCCCATAGTTCTCCTTAGGGTAACGGGAGGACACAAACTAGCGTCCTCCCGTCACCCTAGGCTCAGTATACCGCGAGCTAGCTGGTGTATGGAGGTGCGTATGGCTGGGCAAATGCCATTCGCACAACAATTCTGCCACTAGATGGCGCTGAGGAGCATAGGAATTCCCATACTCGTTGGCTCCACCTAGTGGCGGAATCTCTGTGAATGGCATTCGCTGGGTGAATCATTTACACATCAGCCCCTGAGTGTTCCACTCATGATGAAACAGAGGGACAAACTAGGTATAAAAAAAAAAAAAGTCACTG